ACTCGTGTAGGACATTGTTGTGGGATCCAGGCCCTCAGCTGGATTCCTTGGTCTTAGTGTGTGGACAGATTTCCTGCACTCTTTTGTATACTGTTATTTGGGTGACTTATAAATAATCATATAAAGTATGTGTCCTGTATTATGTTGTTCCCCTTGCAAAGTAAGCCCCTAACCAACGCAGAATGGGTTAATCTGTGTGAGCTCTTACTCCTATACCTAAAATTGATCATGTATATCCCTGAACACTGAGTTGATTATGTGGGCATGCAGTTACTGAGACATCACTTCTGAAAAGTGAAAGAATTTGAGAAAGTGTCAGTTGTGTTTTCTTGTTTTACAAATATGGACACTGAGCCCAGAAAGGATATAACATCTGTCCTAGCTTCTCATGTGCAGTAGGGGCGCAGAGCTGGGACTACACCCTGGATTTCCTGACTGTCCATCTAGCGTTCTTTACAAAGCAGCCGTCATCTGTGGGATCACCCCATCGGTCAACCCTCCATCCTGGCCAAGAGGAAACCAGTGACTCACACAGTCCAATGGTCCTTGGAATGCATGAGAGGTGTGCTTTTCCTCTGTGCATTTTCAGTTTTTGTAGACAAAACCCTATTTCACATGCCCTAAAAAAGCTGTGAATTTTAAGAACTTTATAGTCCAGGGTCATATTTGTGGATGTATAGTACAGGTGTTGGCTGGCTGACTCATGGATCATTCAACGGGTACAAAGTAAATGTCTGTACACTGTATTTCAAATCGTCAGATTTGCTTCAAGGGAACACGCCTATCCTGATTCTCGCTTAGCCCAGAGTCATACTCATTTACATTGGGAACCACTTAAAAGTGGCAGGAGGAATCGAAGCTTGAAATTTGCCAAGGGCAACACATACAAATAATTGAAGTTAATGACACGAGAACATAGATATCAATACGCAACTCTTAAATCCAGGTTACACTGTTTTCCAACTCATAGACCCGCAAGGGTCTCATGCATCAGGCATTATCTGAGAATAACCTTAAAGCCACAGCAGGTGAGGAAAAGATCGGGTCTGACGCACAGCAGACCGCACCCCCCACATTTACCCGACTTCTGATCCTCGTCACCTGCGAGGGGAGTCCAGCCTTCCCGTTGCTTTCATACAACCACTCAGAACACGGCAGGGAGACAGCTGCTGCCTCGCCTGGGACTCCAAGCCTGGAGAACACATTTCATTTTCTCTGAGCATGCTAATGTCTCAAGACAAACAGGCAAGCAATAATCTGCGAAGCCAGGACCTATATTCATAGAGAATGAAATCTTGCTATGTCACTTTCCTCTTGTCACTCTACTGTACAAGGGACTTCATTCCCTCGTTCTTGCCGAGAACACAGCTGGTCTGTGTTAAGACCTTCCACAAGCTGTCTCATCTCCCCTTTCCTGCCTTATAGCTTCATTGTTCTACTACACAGACTCCTCTTGATCATGCTGGCTAATTCATCACCTTCTGAGTACTCCGGTACCTTCCCCAGCTGTCCATTCCCTCCCTTGTCATAATGAAGTGCTGTTCATCACACACCTGTCCACATGCTGCTTTCCATGGCGCACTCAAAGGCTACCTCCTCCCTGAAGTCTCCTTACTACTCAGCTAACAGGATTTCATGAGTTTTTTTCCTCCATGGAAACAAATCTCCATTCTTTCCTCCTCTGCTTTAAGTGCCCCACGCTGTCTGTCTCCATTCTTAATAAGTACTTGTTAACTGATTGACTCTACATAAGGCCAGTGCCTCCAAAAAGGTTTATGTTTCCAAAGGACTTGAAAATAAGGTAATTGTTCACAGCTCTTATTGCAGGCGCACAATGGAAACTTCAGAGAACCTAGTATGTTGTCATTGGATTCCTTTCTTTCTACCAAACTAGGTCATTTCAACCCTCAGTCACCTTTAGAGGGATTCTAAGAAGGGCACACTGAGAGTCAGCACAGAGATCGCATTCCTGGATTCCCAACTCGTTGTCCAGATCTGCTACTGCATCAGATTCAGACAAGTGTGAACTGGAGAAATGAACTAATCATTTGCACCATCCAAACAAAATGAAAAGACTGCTCTTGTTAAGTTGGCTGCATATTCAGGTTTGCAACAAGGGAGTAAAGGGGAGGGGAGGAAAAGAAAAACAGCCTAATGCTGTCCACTGCCTACTCTTCTAAAATGCTTGCTTTTTTGGGTTTTTTTGGGGGGGGGGCTTTTTTTTCTATTTTTCACAACTGTGTAGTGGAATCGGAATGTTTGGGAGGCATTAAATCAGGACTGGAAGCATGGTTTGCTATACCCTGATGAGTATATTTACTAACATGCTTTCTCACCCAGACCCTCCTCCACCTGGGTCCCCTTTCCTTTGCTCAGAATGCACTACTGTGCTAAACCGAAAAGTCCCAGAAGTGGTACCTGGCTGTAGAACCACAATGGATTTCAGGGTTCAGTCCCCAGACAGATAATGCAGTCCTATTTCTAGGTCCTGTAACAAGGGTTGTTCATTTGCTAGACATCATTTAATGGATTTGGCTACACAGAGGAAAACAGCGATATAGGGTAGGGAGGGAGTGAACGAAAATAGTGAGCGGACAGAAAAGTTGATGTGTTTTAGCTTTGTGCATAGTCATTAATTCTCTTATTCATTAAATGAACAACACTGGCCATTTTCTACTTGTCAGTGCTCATTAGTGTTATTTATTCATCAGAATACACATATTTATTGAGCACTTATGCTCTTCTGACTAGTAAACCACTCTTTATAACTTGTTGCATCAAAAAGTTTACTGACTATAAATTGGACAGTGGACAGAAACTTAAAAACAAAAATAAGCAATGTCACAGATCACCATAAGTTTTAATAACTGTTTTAATGTCAAATTTGTATATATGATAAAAACCTAAAATTTTATTTCACGTATCATTAATCTTGCTTCAAAACCCCAGCGCATGGGAGTCTGCTTTGACTTCCAGGTGTATCCAGTTGAGTAAGAGCTTAGTTACAAAGGAATCGATTGTGGCTTTGGGCTCCAGAGGCAGACAGATGGGAATATGTCTGTGAGAACGACGTCCAATGTAAACACCGCACATATGGTGGCAAGAACTATTATTATTTTCCTAATGGCGCTCTTGAGTATTTTCTTAATAGATTCTTCATTTTATAATTGTGGACCTTTCCTAGATTCCTTCCTGTCAATTGTTCTTAAAGAGAGGAGGAGATCTTGCCCTTCGGGGACATTTGGCTAAGTCAGAAACACTTTTTATTTTCACAACTGGAAGGGCATGTGGCGCAGGTTGAGTAGTGCTAATACTAGCATCTGTAGAGGCAGGGGTGTTGCTCACCATTTTAGAACACACGGGAGGGGTCACCACGGCAAGGGATTAACTACCTGGCCCAAAATATCAGTACTGTTTTGAGACAACCAGCTCTTAACCATCATCTTTCTTTCTCTTGGAGCCTGGTATCACCCAGTCACCAGGCTCTCAGGTGCGCCCGAGGTAGATATGCCGCACGGCAGCCTGGTGCACCGAACTGCAGAGCTTCGCCAACTGCTTCTTAATCCCTTTGCGATTCCTTTAACTTAAACAAAAATCAGCCCAAGACCAGCCATACTTCAAAACGCAGTGGTGAACCCTGATCGGGTTTATGCGTCCAGGCAGTCGGGAAAGGCCGGCCCTTGCTGTCCTCGCCGCTGCCCTCCTCCTCCCTGCCTGCCCTTAGGACGCGACACGAGTCTCAAGCTGCCTCTCTTAAAAATACTTCGATTTAGGGGCGGAGATTTAGCTCAGCGGCACAGCGCCTGCCTGGCAAGCGCAAGGTCCTGAGTTCGATTCCCGGTACCGGAAAAAAAGCAAAAAAAAAAAAAAACTTTGATTCCTTCGGTGGCAAAAACTGAGCTGGGCTGGGAAGTGAGTCCCTCTCAGCAGCGAAGGGGGCTCGTTCTCCTCTCCCTGGGTGCGTTTCTTAGTAACTTCAGCCTGACCCTGCAGCACTCGCCTGCTGACCCCTCGCTGCATGTCTAAGGCCCACGGGGAGAGAGCTGCGGCACCGGGACGGTTTGCAGTCGTCAGGAAGGACAGCTTCTTAAAACACCAAAAAGAGCCCGAAGGCGGAAAGCCCGGAAACCCTGTTACATAAGCGGCGGCTGGAGGAGCGCGGCTCCGACGCTGCGGCTCCGGGCCGGCCGGCCGTGCACCTCCCCGCCCCTCCCGGCCTCGGG